ACCCAAGCCATAACACGTTTTTTGGGGTAGTTGTTCATTGTACTCTTTCTTCACAACATCTTTCAAAGATTCAAGAACACATTCAAGCGTTGCTTTTAATCCTTTGATTCTTGATATCAGTCATCTACAACCTTGGGTTCAAGTTCACATAATTCAAAATAACCACTTTCTATACACATACAGGAATGTACTTTCTGAATAGCTATCAGAGATTGTTGAAGATTGGGAGAGGTTTTATTAGAAACATAGGAAGAGTACAAGAACATGATGTTCTCGGTGATCTACAGGAGATAAACAATTTCAGAAGATCGAAAATAGTTATAAATGAAACACGTTCTAGCGGGTCTTGGTGATCGCAAACATTAGATCAACAAATCTAGTAGATTTTCTTGACTGGATCATATTGTAAGTTCATTATTGTCTATAGTGAAAGTTATTGGCTTGGTCCTAGAGTTTTTACCCAATTAGGTGTGCCAACAATTTTTGTGTTCTTTATTGTTTTCATATTATAAACTATGGCAGTTTAACATGGGATAATTTCACTTGTTTGTTTAGCCATTTAGAACAATTAATAAGTGACTAATTGCTGTTAATTGACAATTTTAATTCTGCAGTTTTTACTTATTCACCCTCCTCTAAGTGATTTTAGATATGAACTAGTAGCTTTTCACTGCATGTCAACTTTATTTCTTCCAAAGATGAGATTACTGATGTTTTAACAAAACAATTAAGTAGCTCATGATTTCATCTTCTCAAGTCTAGTCTTTATGCCTTACAAATGATATGACATAATATGAGCTCTTACCGATTATAAAGATATGATACGATGGTACGATTTATTTTCATGTATGAATGATAAATATTATTCGGGATGGTACTAAAATTTTGTATCCTTCTAAGTATTCCCCGTACTCATCCTTTTTTTCCTGCCTTACAGGTTATTATGGGTCGTGTCGGAGCATGGGGGTTCAATGGTGTTGTTGTGCCTCATTTCATGGGATCAAAATCTATAACTTAAGCACGTAACTTGTTACTTTTAATTTGGTGGCAATAGACATTTACGTTTAATTAAATTCTCGAACATGTTCAGCAAACCATAGTTGTCTACTTTCTAGTAATTTAACTAGCTTTCATGTTCCTTTAAATTTTAAGTTGTGCTTTTGAATTTTTGTTGGAATTAATATCTTCTATGATATAAATTATTAAAAGACCATGCATGTAATTAACATTTGTAGAATCCATTGTTGTTTCATCAAATTTATGAAAAGAATAAATGACCTTATATTTAAAAAACGTATAAATGAATTTAGTGGTGACTTAAATTTTATTAAAAATTCTGGGTCATTCCAATTTTGTATCAGAGCATAGGTTTATTTTCCTGTCGACCCATTATGATTATATGTGATTTAGGAGTTTTAAAAAAAAAATCACTATTCACACATGAATAGTAACATGAGTTACTACTCACGTGTGTTACTTTTCACATGTGAACAGTACCAAGCTAAATAAATAAATAAAATGAAGTGAGTTCACGGGCCTTAAGCATGTCTTTACAGTTTTAATTTTATTTACTATAACTATTGTATGTGCATGATTAATTAATAGTGATTAGAGACTGCCTTTGGACTTTGAATTTATGAGAGGCAATTCGAGCAGCTTTCAAGGTATGTCCCCAACTTGGTAGATACAGAAGGTTAGAAGGTTCGAAAATGGACTACACCCGAAGATCAACGTGATCATTATTTCCCATCATTTCACTTCAATCATGAAATGTTGGAGATGGCACATGCCATTTCATATCAGAGAACTACATTTGAGCAATATGCCCAGCAGAGCAAGGAGTCGTTTGGGAAAAGAAAGTGGAGTGATCAGAGCAAGAACAAACGTAATTGGCAGAAAAAGAGACCAAACACAGGAGTTCATATTAGGGGACGAGTGAGAACCTTGTCCTAAGTATAACAAACTCCATCGAGGTGAATGCTTATTCAGGACGAACATGTGTTTTCGATGTGGTAAATTGGGACATACTGTACAGAGCCTCCACGAAAGAAAGACGATGACCAAGATAAGAACCCAAAAGGAAAAGCTCGAGTTTTTGCACTGAATCAGCACGAGGCAGAGCAGGATCTGAACATTCGAGCAGGTATAATAATAATAATAATAATAATAATAATAATAATTATTATTATTATTATTATTATTATTATTATTATTATTATTATTATTATTATGTACCTGCTTATGTTCTTTTTACCTAGAACCGTCTCTATCCTTCGATCACTAGTCTAACATTATAATTAGGAAAACATGTATTATGTTATTATCTGATGTACCTGCTTACGTGCTTTTTGATAATGGGGCTACAAATTCTTTTATCTCTGCATCCTTTGTCCTTGGGTCTAACTTTGCATGTGTGAGAACGAATAATGAATTAGAGGTTAGCATCCCTTCAGGAAGAATTCTTTGTACAAATCAGATGACAAAGACTATGAAGTTAGAGATTGACGGGAAAATATTAAGGGTAAACTTGTACCTTTTGGAGATGAAAGAGTTCGATGTTATTTTAGGCATGGATTGGTTAGGACTTAATCATTCGACCATTTGATGTCACGCAAAAGAAGTATTGTTTCACAGACTAGAAGAAGAAGAGTTTTGTTTCTTTGGAGCAAAGTTCAAGTCTCTACCTTATCTTGTATCGGCTATTTAAGTGGAAAAGATGTAGAGAAATGAGTCATGTCAAGTATTTCTAGTTAATATAACCAGTTTCCAACATACAGAAATGACTGTTAATGAAATTAACATCGTGCAAGACTTTGCAGATGCATTTTCAGAAGACTTACCAGGCATTCCACAAGATAGGCAAGTGGAATTTGCAATTGATTTGGTTCTTGGAGCAGCACCAGTATCCAAGGCTCGGTACTTAATGGAACCGAAAGAACTTCAAGAATTGAAGTTGTAATTAGAAGAGTTGATGGAAAAAGTTTTCATTCGACCAAGTGTATCTCCTTAGGGTGCCCTTGTAGTTTTTGTGAAAAAGAAGGATAGGAGTATGAGGATGTGCATTGACTACCGGGAAATTGAACCATTTGACCATCAAAAACAAATACTCGCTGCCAAGAATCGCAGATTTATTCGACCAATTAAGGGTGTAATAGTGTTTTCAAAGATCGACTTGAGGTCAGGGTATCAACAACTAAAAATCAGGGCAAGCGATATACCGAAAACTGGTTTCAGAACTCGTTATGGACACTATGAATTCACTATCATGCCTTTTGGTTTGACTAATGCTCCAATCGTATTTATAGATCTCCTGAATAGAATTGCCCATCAGTATTTAGAGTGTTCGTCATAGTACTCGAAACTTTAAGGAAGGAAAAATTATATGCCAAATTCAAGAAGTCCGAGTTTTGGCTTGATCACGTAGGTTTTCTTGTCACATGGTTACTGCCCAAGGAATCGAGGTAGACCCTGTTAAAGTGGAAGCAGTATCAAATTGGCCTAGACCGACCAATGTGGGTAAAGTTCACAATTTCTAGGGATTGGCTAGCTATTATAGACGATTTATTGAGGGGTTTTCAAAAATAGCGAGGCCGATGACTCAATTGACAAAAAAGAGTGTGAAGTTTCAGTGGACGAAAAAATGTTTTCAAGAATTCAAGCAGAGACTTGTTTCAGCTCCTGTATTGACGATACCTGAAGGTTTGGATAGATTTGTAATTTACAACGTTATCTCCAAGCTGGGTTTAGGTTGTATACTGATACAACATGGAAAAATGGTTGCTTATGCCTCGAGAGAGTTGAAGCAGTATGAACAGAACTATCGAACGCATGACTTGGAGCTTGCAGCAGTAGTTTACGCCTCAAAGATATGGCGTCATTATCTCTATGGTAGGAAGTCTGAAATCTATACAAATCACAAGAGTCTCAAATACTTTTTCACACATAAAGAATTGAATATGAAACAGAGGAGATGGTTATAGCTAGTGAAAGATTACGGCTATACAATTCATTACCATCTTGATAAGGCCAATGTAGTCGTAGATGCCTGAAGTATGAAGACAGGATCACAGTTAGCAGTTTTACCCACAGTGTAGGAACAATCGATAAGGGACTTTGAGAAATTGAGATTAAAAGTTATCACACCACCGACTTAAACTACGGTGAGAATAAGAGCGTTCATGATTAAGCCTACACTTCTGGATCGAATCAAGGAGGTACAAGATAAGGATCCATTGTTACAGAAGATAAAGGTCGAGATTGGTACAAATAAACGTATAGGGTTTGAAGTATCTACAGATAATGCGTTGATTTTTAAAGGAAGGTTGTGTGTACCCAAAGATGAAAGTATAATGAATGCGATATAGGAAGAGGCTCACTCTACTCCTTATTCTGTACATGTAGGTGGTACGAAAATTTATCGAGATCTTTGAGATATATTTTGGCGTACAAACATAAAGAGAGGAATTGGACTGTTCGTGGATAAATGTATTGTTTTTCAATAGGTCAAGGTAGAACATCAAAGGCCTTCAAGACTACTGAAACCATTAGATATTCCAGAATGGAAATGGAAACACATAACGATGGACTTTGTGGTAAGTCTCTCGAGATTAGCAAAAGGTCACAATGCTATCTAGATAGTGGTTGATCGTCTAATGAAGTCAACCTATTTTTTGCCAATCAAAATAAATTTCAACATGGAACATCTTGCACAGTTATACATCAAAGAGATAGTTAGGTTACATTGAGTTCTAGTCACCATTGTTTCAAATAGAGACCGGAGCTTCACATCTAAATTTTGGAAAAGTTTGCTGACAGCCATGGGGATGAAACTAAAGTTTAGTACTGTTTATCATTCTCATATGGATGGACAATCAGAAAAAATCATACAAACTATGGAAGATATGTTGAGGGCGTGTGTTTTGGATGTCGGCGGTAGTTGGGAGACAGACCTATCTTTAGTGAAATTTGCTTCCAACAATAGTTTTTAGGCCACTATAGGCATGGCCCCATATGAAGCTCTTTATAGTAGGAAGTATCGATCCCTTATCCATTGGGATGAGGCCGGAGAGAATAGAATTTTGGGTCCAGAAACAATTGAATGAACAGTTGAGGCAATTGGCAATATTAGAGCCAGAATAAAAACAGAACACACCCGACAAAAAAAATCATGCCGATGGTAGAAGAAAGGATTTAGAATTTGTTGTGGGTGACAAAGTTTTTCTTAATGTAGCATCCATGAAGGGTGTATTGAGATTTGTTAAGAATGGGAAGTTGAGACTGCGATTTCTTGGACCTTTCAAAATTCTTGAAAGGATTGGTACTGTGGCTTACCGAGTTACCTTACCACCTGAACTTGCAGCAGTACATAATGTATTCTATGGTTCGATGCTTAGAAAATATGTTCACAATCCCAATCATGTGGTGAGTTATTAGACATTGGAGGTACAAAAAGATTTATCATATAATGAAATCCCAACGATGATTTTGGACAGATACATCAACTCAGAAACAGAGAAGTTCCTTTTGTTAATGTCCAATGGCGAAATCATGGACTTGGTGAGTCAACTTGGGAGAAGGAAGAGGAGTTTAGAATAGAGTATCCAGAACTCTTCGATTAGTTGAGGTAAATTTTTGAGAACGAAAAATTTTAAGGAGTATGGTGGAGATTGTAATGTCCCAAAATTTTCGTTGAGTAGAACTAAATTTTTATATGTTGTATTTTAATATTTTGAAAAGTAAGGGACTAAAATGATATATAGAAAATTTCAATTTCATTTGGGTTAAAATGTAGATTTTGACGGAGCAATAATAAATATATGAATATTAGGCTCATTCGGTAGGTCGTAATTAATCATGCATATTAGAATGGAGAAAAAAGTCAATTTGGATTAGTGGAGCCTATGTTATCAATGTCGAAAGATATGGTGCTAAAATTATTTTTAGTTAAGTTAAGTTAATGCATTTAGAGTTTAGGGGTGTCACGTGTAGTGGTAATTGACTTTTATAATAATAATAAGAAAAGGGGGTTATATATATATATATAGAAAGAGAGAGAGAGAGAGAGGTATATAGTTATGCAGGAATGATCTCCTAAGCACCGGTAACATGGGACATCATTTAATTGATAAATAAGTGCCGGTGCTTAACATAAGTTAAGCACGGGTACTTAGGAGATCATTTTCATATACTTATATATGTATAATCAATATCTTCACATGTTTTTCTTTTTCTTTAAGTTTCACCCTCTCCTCCACTCACAAATCTAACCACCTATAAGAAACGTACACATACCTACTTGCCATGATTCCCACTTACTCAAATGATAGGAGAAACTACCTTAACTCCCTTATTGTTCTCTCTCATCACTCACTTTATATTCATTATAACTTCTCCCATCATATATTCTTTACTCATTATTTCTATATTTTTGGTGCACTCAAACAAGAAAAGACTCTGCAGAAGCATTTATAGTACATTCTTCTTATCTTAATATTCTTCATTGGTTGAAACACATTTGAAGGTTAAGATAGGTTGAAGCACATTTGAAAGTTAATGTAGGATACGACGTACATGTGGTTTGTCCTGTTTAATTTTTGTTATTTCATATTGATAAGTATTTTGTTAATGATATATATATATATATATATATATATATATATATATATATATATTGCCATCATGACATGATATGAGCTCTTATCGGTTATAAAGATATGATATGACGGTATGATTTATTTTGATGTATGAATGATAAATATTATTAGGGATGGTACTAATATTTGTATCCTATTGAGTGTTCCCATACTCGCCCCTTTTTTCCTACCTTACAGGTTAGTACGGGTCGTGTCGGAGCGCGGAGTTCGATGGTGTGGTTGTGCCTCGTTTCATGGGATAAAAATCTAGAATTTAAGCACATAATCTGTTTCTTTTAATTTGATAGCAATAGACATTTAAGTTTAATTAAATTCTCGAACATGTTCAGTAAACCGTAGTTGTCTAGTTTCTCGTAATTTAACTAGTTTTCACGTTCCTTTAAATTTTAAGTTGTGCTTTTGAATTTTTGTTGGAATTAATATATGGTATGATATAAATTATTAAAAGACCATGTGTGTAAGTTTAACATTTGCAGAATCCATTGTTGTTTCATCAATTTTATGAAAAGAATAAATGACCTTATATTGAACAACGTATGAATGAATTTGGTGGCGACTTAAATTTTATTAAAAATTTTGGGTCGTTATAATGCTTGCTCACCTTAATAAGGATGTTGTTTCATAGATGGTGTGATTTTTAGGTTTCAGAATGGAGTCTGGTGCCTTGACATCAAGAGGCTACTATATCAACTCCTCTATGCCCACTGGCAAACGAAAATGCTGGAAACTTGCTCGAGGATTTTAAATAAAAAGTCTAATTTTCGCCAATTTGACTATACAATAGAATTTGAGGTTGTTCTGCAAATCTTTTATATTCGTTCCTAGATTGAGTCGAGATCTAAAACAACTAGATTATAATTTCTTATAAATTCTTTTTTAAATGATTCTTTCTTATTTCCCCTTTTCTGCAAAATTACGTTTCACACTGAAATTTTGTTATGCAAACAATTACTAAAGCAGTTAGGGGCTTGTTCTACACCACAAATTCGTTCCATAAGGTCAATTGTCCTTATCTTTTATATTCGTTCCTAGATTTTTTATCCAATAGAGAATGCATCAGAATAGATATGCTGGGACAGCAAAAGTCATTCTGTGGAATGATTGATATAAAGAAATTCAGAATGTTACAACGAGAGAAACTTCAACAATAAAGGCCTCGAAGAAAAAAGAAGAATCCAAAATTATTAATGCTGTGTAATAAAGGAAAAACACCAGTGCACGATCTATGATTGATGATTTTATTCTTATAATATATTATACAAATAATATATTAATTACTCCGAGGCTGAGTGGGATGTTAATGAAATATATTTCAATTGGGAGAATTTATTATTTTTTTTGTTAAATATAGATAGTAGGTTTATTTATTTATTTATTATTATTATTTTTTTTTGGCATAGGATTTTGTTAAATATAATGTGCACACAAATTTCAAGGAGTATGGAGCCTCAGACTTATATACATTTCAATCATTATGAATATACAGCAAAATATATTTTCTTTTACTTCACTTCATGATGTCCGAAACTTAGATGCAATTATATTCGTCAAAAACTCTCATTTTCACTTTATCTTGCACGAGCTATGATAATAAATATTATTTAGTGTATTTATTTCATATATAACCTTTTGTTGTGATAACTCAGCATAAAATACATTTTTAAATATAAGAATTATGATAAAGAATTATTAAAAATTTTGACTAGTCAATAGCCTTGTTTTCGTTGATATATGCATACTATTAGAAGTAGCAGGACGTCCCACTTCCAAGGTTGCCTCAATCACAATGACAAAACGTTATATAAGCCTCCACCGGTGTATTCCCAAGATGTTCAGGTATATGCGTAACACAAGGTACTTGATTCATATGACATTTGTCAATGCAATAGTCCCTTTCTGACATATCTCCCATGCCATAATAGTCACAAAATGACGTACAATCATTTACTTTGCAGTTGGAGCCCAAAGTTAAACCTGAATCTAGACACATTGCCATCATCAATATCAGCCCAAGTAAAATATTCCTGTGTGTGTGCATGTTTTTCATATCTGAATTTTTATTTGTAATGTGCATTTGGAGCAAGATTTTCTCAATTTTAAGATTGTTTATATGCTTCTAATGCATTTGGTTCTTCAACAGATGACTATATATAAGAAGCCTTTATGCATGTATATCATATATGTAAAGGTAACTTATAAATGCAAGTATTTATTACTACGTTTTAATTTATTTTGATCTTAGCACACATTGTAACTTATAGGAATAGAGTCGTATTAATTGACTTCTTGAATACATGCTTATAAATTACTTAATATGAAGACTTAGACATTTAGGTAGCTGAAACGTCTCAGAATATCAAGAAACTGACCAAACACTGGTTCTCTAAATGCCGATATCATTTCAGAATCTTCAAGACATATAGATGCGGCCATTCATCTGTTACTGAAAATCTTCTAGATATCCCTACTATATGTTGACGATGTTGTTAGGCAATTTGTTGTCAAACAACATCCACCGGGCTATGATGTTACTCGGTTTATTTTTTCAGTCAGCTTAGCCAAATGACTAAATGGGAATCCAACACCACATTTAAGGCGATATAATCCAAAAGTTAATTGGGTCACTCAAAACAACCTAAATACTTTAGTATTGCTCATGGCCTAATCCACTTCCTTGGATGGCCATTAATTGAGAGAACAACTTATGAGCCTGTTTAACTATCGCTTGGTCCTCTAACTTGACTCATTGGTTAACCTACTTATACTTACCTTATTTGGGCCATTGGTTATAAGATAAACTTGTCTCTTTCTCTCTAAGCAAGAGACGTCTCACTGCCTCTCTCTCTCGGCCGTTTTCTGTGTTCTTCTTGTTCTACCCTTTCTACCTCTTTGTGACTACTACCTTAGTGGTGATATTATATGAGATTTCTTGCATTGTGGTCTCCTAAGTGAAATATCTCATTGGCAACTGGAAGTGGAAGCTTGGCATTGTCTTGGGTCGTTGTTGTCAGCTTGTGGTTCTGGAAGTGGGTAAAAACTAAGCCTGAGTTTTCTTTGGTGCTCAATACACATTCTATAGATGTGAAATCAAATTCATCTACCATTCAACAAATTGCTCGTGCGCTTAGCTCACAATTTGGTCTTATAGATATAGGTCGTCTCAATTATTTTTTGGGCATTGAAGTGAAATATTTTAATGGTGGCATTTTTCTATCATGGACAAAATATACAAAGGATTTATTGGCAAAAGCTCACATCCAGAACTGCTCTCTTATTTCCACTCCCATGGCTATCGAAGTGAAGCCCACTCTCCCTAAAAAAATGATCTTGTTAAAGCCACTGAATTTAGAGCTCTTGTTGGCAGCCTCCAATACCATACTTTCTTTCACTCATCCAAACACACACACACACTATCAATCGTGTTTGTTAGAACTTTCAAACACCAAATTCTTATAATCTTCAAGATTTGTTTGGTATCTCAGAGGGACTGCACATATTGGCACTTGTTATCTCACTTAATGCTCTCCTCCCGCCTTCTATGCCTTTTCGAATTCTGATTTGACTGGTTGTCCACTCACTCATTGCAGCACAACTGGCTACTCTGTTCATCTAGGTGCAAACTACATTTCTTGATCTCGAAGAAACAAGCTACTGTTGCTCATTCTAGTGCCGAACTCAAGTACTGATCCTTAGCTTCTACTGTTGCCGAACTTACTAGGATTTCATTTTTACTTGTTCATGTAGTGTCCTCTCTGACACACTCTCCTTTGCTGTTGTGTGATAACAAAAGTGCTCTTCAAATTACTAAGGATTCCGTGTATCATGCCTATTCCAAGCATCAGCATCATATATCGAGGACTTTTACAACAGCTTGGTCACACGAATTTTCTTCTACATAAAATAGTTTATACGCTTGTTGAATAGAAGTTTGATCATCTTCTGATTGCATTTTCGTCCCTGAATTT